GTGGGGACCGAAGTGTGCTGCAATTCAGCGAAAAAATTGAAAAGATTATGTAAGAGTATAGGGGCTGAGAACTTGCAACCAGAATGCAGGGTAGCTCAGTTTCAGAGTACCGAAAATGTCTTTTCTCCTTGTGCGAAGAGTTAACGGAAGGAAACCTACATGATTTGAAGTATTTATGTCGCGATCGGTTAACAACGAGAGAACTGGAAGAGATTAATACCGCCACGAAGCTGTTTGAATACCTAGAGATAAAACAAGAGATAAGAAGAGACAATCTGCGTTTGTTAAAAGATCTTCTTACGCAGATAGGTCGCAATGATTTAGTGGAAAACCTAAATGAGTTCAAGAGAAAGCGCAGCTTTAAATGTAACGGAAAGAGTGTTTCCCTGGATTTTCAAGTTGACGATAGCCTGGAAGATGTTCCTGATGCTGCCGAACAAACCTCAAATGGCGCTGGCAACAATAATGATCCAACTTCAAGAGGTGAGTTAGAATTATAAATGTGATATGTGATAAAAAATTCAATAATGACTGCGTTTGTTTTTGTTTTACGAATTGAACTAATGCGTGACAAGAAATCAGTGTTTGTTTCAGAGTCACGTCAGTGGCAAGAATGTGCTTACAGTTCCGCCCAGGACAATGGCTATTTTTTCCACCTGACGCTCTCTGTTTGGTTGGGATCTCGTAGTACCTTAGAGTGCCGATGGTCGCTAATTTCGAATAATAAGGAGAATGCACATTTTATTTGGACACGATAAACATGTATACAGAAATCTGGCTGAGTGTATAGAAATGTCACTGAAATTCAGAAGTGTTGAATATTGATCTTTTTTAAATTCAACCCATGAACAACTTTAGTGAGCTGTTTCACGGCGTTACCAGAATGAAATGAAAACTTTCGAATAGGCCTTTGCTCATGTTCTCGTGGTTGGACTAGTCATCATCTACTATCTGCTTTGATCTCGTCTATCCTTAATCTCTGTAGTTTCACCTTTATTCTTTTGTGGTCCCTTCGTGTTATTCTACCTTACAAAACAGATATTTTGCAGGTATTTTCTAGGGTACCACGATCGATATATCGACCTATGCATCTGTCGATCTATACTCGATCGACACGCGACCGAAATGTCGAGCGACTGTCGACCGATGTTTAGGTAGAGCTTTCTCTGATGTCGGCCGAGGTATCGACCGTGACCATATTGGTAGCTTATTGGTCAACTACCGGCGGTATATCGGTCAACTATAAGTGGAATATCGGTCAAGTAACGACCAATGTATAAATCGATCTGTCGATCAAGATGTGCGTTGCGTGTCGGTCGAGAGTCGATCGACTTCGTATCGACCGATTTGTCAGTCGGTGTGTGGAGCGAGTTGCGGCCGATACATCTGTAGGCTAACGACAGAACGTCGAACAAGTGTCAGTGAAATGTCGATAATGTTTCGGTAGCTTTTCATCGAGGGGCGGTCGATGGTCTGTTTCGGTAGACCAGCGGTCGACGTGTCAGTCGCGTGACGGTCGAGTGTCGATCGAGTAACGATCGATATGTGGACAAATGCATCGGTCGAGGTACCCTTATTTTAAAGATACATAATCCATATTTTGTAGTTTTCGAGTTGAAGGTAATTTTGCGCGTCACCCGCGAAAATGACCGTGAACGTTGTGACGTATCTAAATTATTTTTAATTATTCATGAATGCCACGCAAATAATTTTCGTATACAGAACTGCTCGTAAGGTGGGTGAAACGTTCCACTTTTCTGCGTAGGGCCTGAAGGAATCATGTTGAGAGAAATCAGCGCTGACGTTTATGAAGAACTTGGATTTTTACTTAATCCAGATTCGTTCAAAAATTGGAAACTTCTGGCCGGTAAGCTTGGATACACACTCACTCACGTAACAAATTTCAAATTGTGTCCAATGAACAGCACCCAAATGCTGCTTCAGGATTGGTCTCAGCGTGGAGATGCTACAGTTCAGAAGTTGTACCAGGCCCTTGTGGATATTGGCCGCGTAGATGCTGCCCAGAAATTAAAAGTTTTATTTCCTTCTCGTGGTACATTGTAGATCTTGTGGACGTGACAGTTTAGTTTTCTTCCTGTGACAATGCAATTTGTCTTCTGTTAAACAAAAGCGAAACAAAGTTCTTTTCAGGGTATGATGAGCTTTTCAAATCCATTTATTCCCAATGATCTCGAGAGCCTTTGAGCCTCACTGTTAAATTATC